TGGATTCCCGGGAGGTGCTGGTGGTGTCGGTGGTATAAATCCAGCGTTTGTCGGTTAAAGACCATGCTCAATTAAAGGTTCATATAAAATATGATGATTAAATATTTGATAATTTAATGTTTTTTTTTAAATTACTGTAAATTAGAGCAAATTTGTTAATAAAACAAGCATTTTATAAAATTTAAATCTTTGGTGCTTTCTAGACCTTTATATTGATTGTGATATTATGGGTAATATTTTATTTATTTTTTAAGATTCAAATTACAGTTCATTTAAAATGTAATTTAATTTTAAAAAACTATTTCACAAACTTTTGCATAGATATTGCAAAACTTATTTTTATATTTGAAAATAATTATTGTTCATAAATAAATAAATTTTGTAATATAACTAGTTCATAGTGTTTAATTAACTAACAAGTAGGGTCAATATTTTATTTATTTTTATGATTTAAAATACAGTTCATTTAAAATCATGTAATTTAATTTTAAAAACAACAATTTTGCAAAAAGATCAATATTAAAAAATTTTAATTACAATTTTTGTCGTTTTAGAGTTAATAATTTGTATATAAATTAAATTTAATATATTGAAAATTATTTACTAACTTACAAGTTAGTATTGTATGAAAATCATTTATTATTTCAATAAAATTAATTTTTATATTAAAATATGTATTTTCTATTATTATATACAGGATTATATAACCCTAATTACACTTACTAGTTAATCGTTAAAGCTTAATTATAAACAACTAACATCCATTTAAAATAAAATATTAAACTAATATATTATTTTGAACAAAAGATTACTTATCCTGGTCGTAACAAAACGCACACCTTTTCAATCATAGCACCATGCTCAATCCAATTAATCAAACCATGCTATAATTAATTAACAAAAGTTTCATAACCATTTACCGGGAAAAAACATACCACAACATAATTAATACTGTCACACCCATAGATATTATTGCAACATTACGGGGGAACGGTAGATTACAACTCAATTTCTAAACAAAAAATCAGTTCTTATTGTTTAATAAAAAAAATAATTTTTTAACAAAAATGTTGAAAATCTTCGCATTACTAGTGATCGTCGCCTACGTGTCGGCCCATCACATCCCTGGCCACGAGAGGGACGACCATAAACCGGACGATGAGATTAAACCCGATGAGCGGTGCGGCGGAGGTTTCGGTGGATTCCCGGGAGGTTTCGGTAGATTTGGAGGTTTCCCAGCCGGAGGTGCTTTCCCGATAGGGGGTGTTCAACCTATTGGCGGTGTTGGTGGTGTGGGTGGTGTACCCATACAGCCAGCGTTTGTCGGTAAATAATCATGGTCATCGATAAATTAGCATGTTACGTATTTTGTTTGTGTTAAATTGCATCATGAGTTGTATTATCAAGCTAAATGAAATTCATGATAAATTCTATTTTTTTGTAATGATTTATTTATGTAATTATTTTTCAATAAACTGTAATTGAATTAAATTGTTAAGTATATTATTTTTTTAAAAAGCATTTAAAAATTATACTGGCACATACTGGTATCAAGAAAAGTATTTTTATATTTTTGAAATTATTTTTATTACATTTGTAACACTTAATTGTTTTTTGGTTAGCTAGTAGAATTCGCCTATGATGCGCACACATTGTAATCCGGGCCACATTAACAGTGACAAAATAGTGACTATTATAACATTAGTCAGTATAGAGATTAATGTTAAAATGTTTAAAGTTTTGTCACTCATAGTGTGGCCCCAAATGGCTCCGGTGTGCTGAGTAGAGAATTCGCTATAATTTTAACGCATCATGCTACTTTAATGAACTGGATAATAAACTACAAATGGTCGCAAATCCAACTGATTAAATACTAAAAATTAATGTGTATTAAATGTAAACATCAATGAATTACCATGTTATGTTAATCAGTAGATATTACTGCATATTTAACAGTTATCTCATTTAAAGTGAACTAGTCAAAAAATACCTTTGTGTTATTTCATACGGATATGTCAACATATAAATTGACTATAATTTACGTTTTAACCACCTTGGCACATTAATCTCAAAAAACAAATTACTTAGCTTTTAACACAATCTGAAATTGTTTTGGGAACTGTACCCACAAATTAGTATTATGAGGCTTTAATGCGCTATTATTGTCATCCCTGTCCCACAGAATTCAATGTTATAATTGCATAAATTTAACCAATGCCATTGTAACCAGGTCATTTATAGTTAAGGTTTAAGTAATATGCAGTATTAGCGTAATATTACACGGGTTTTCTCAAATATGTTGAGTTTGCCTGGTAATTTAGTAATAAATCATTAAGTTCACAAAATATAATTATTTTATCCACCAAGAATTAAACAAATTTAATTAATATTGAGAATAAATTTTTTGTTTGTACAATTTCAATGTAGATTTTTGTTTTACAAATAATTAACTAGATATTATAATATAGTAAAATAATATAAAATTATTGCAGTGATGTAATTAATATTTTAATTTTTATAAGTTCATTTTATAAAATATTAATTTAAATATAAAATTATCTTGAAAATAATTAACGTAAAATATTTATTATTTGTGCTATAATAATTACTATAATTCACAATGTTTAATAGCACCTTTCCTTTATGAACCACCTTAGCACATTATTTTTATAACAAATTACTTTGATTTTAATATTATCTGAAATTGTTTGGGGAACTGTAGCCACAAATTAACAGGATCAGAGTCCAATGCGCTATCCATACTATCCCTGTCCCCATAAAATTCAATTTTATAATCATTGGTTAATTGAATAAATCTGACAAGGGTCAAAAATAAGTCATTTATAGCCAACGTTTCACCAGGGCAAATACGGCGACCGTAACTAAATGGTATATAAGCCGCTGGTTTGTTGGTTAAAAATTTACCCTCGTTGTCAAACCATCGTTCAGGTATAAACTTATCCGGATTATCCCAGTGAGCCTTGTCCATTAATATACAGTATTGGTGTAGCACTACACGTGTGTTTTTCGGTATAATATATTTGCCTGGTGATTAAATAAAAATAAAATTATATGCTAACAAAAAATAAATTAACATTAGTATTTATTTAATTAATAATTAAATTTAACAATATAAATTTGTAAGAATGTAAGATGTCAAATTGATATTTAATAAAATTAAAAATAATATTTGAGTTTAAACTAGCTAGCATATTTATAAAAATTTTAAAATACTATTAATATAAATAGTGGTAAGATAAATAATTTTTAAATATTTTATACTTTAACATAATTATCAGAATTATAGGCAGTTTTAATTTTTATAATTTTTATTTAAAAACTGTTAAAACAATTAATAATTTTGATTTTTTACTAATTAATCATGCATACTATTTAAAATTCAATAATAATAAAATAAATAATTACAATTACCTAGTTTACAATCTACTAATGCTTTATGAAAGACACCAATTGGGGTTGGGTTTCTTAATCTCAAAATTTCGGATACGCATGCCATCACGTAATTTAACCTTGGTTTATCGTCGACAGTGGGCACTTTATCGCCAATCACATGTTTAATCTCATCACGCAACTTTTGTTGGTACTCCGGGTAATAAGCCATGAATAGTAACATCCACAGATATGCCGTATGAGTGGTCTCAACACCAGCTGTAAATAAAAACATATAAATGGTCATGGTTAATTAAAATTATTCTTAATATTATTAATAGTGGTGTCAAAGTGTACGGAATTATTTTAAAAAGTAATTGTATCTAAATAATTTTTTAAATGAATACTACCTAATCTATACATAAATAAAACTATCAATAACAATTTAATAAATGCTGACACATAAAGTCAAAGTATACGTACTTATTGATTTATCCAAAAATTAATTTTAAAATTTCATGTAATGTAAATTTATTTTTTAAAATCTGAATATTAATTTAATAATAGATTACCCATAAAAAGGTCATTCATGGACGCAGCTAGGTTGTCATCGGTATAATAAGGTGCAGTTAACTTATCTTGCTCAACTGCTTCATGTTTAGCCTTAATAAGAGTGTCGCAAAAGTCGCGTTTAACAGCTTTATTGTAGGTGTTATTATGGGCTGCATAAATGTCCATGGTGTATTTCATCATTTCATCTTTATATTTTGCATACTTTATTAATGGATTTCGCATAAACCAACGTATAATCGGCACAAACTCGTATAGAAATAGCCAGTTACCCAGGTCAGTTTGGAAATCCGTGGTACAGTATTTAAACTTTTTAAACTCATCTTGCTCAATGTCGAACCTATTATATTGATTGTATAATGTGTATTTAATAAATCAGAGAATTATATTTGTAATTATATATTATTTTTTATTTGTTCATAGTCAAGCATTTAGGGACATAAAATAACTTTTATCCATTTATAAGTCTAGTATCACCTAGGTGATATGCACATACTTTTGACTATACACGGCAGTACCGGTGATATTGGCGAACATGTTATAAATGTATAGTTTGGGCGCAAACGGCTTATTGAGACCCTGTTTATCCATAATTAGGTCAATGGCCTCCCGGACCCCCTGATCGACAACTTTTGATAAATCATCGCTTTTGGCGTATTTTCTATATATTTATTTATTTAGAAAAGATTTTAAATAAATATATTTTAATGCGTATATAACCTGGGTGCATAAATATATACCGTATAGCAGTGNTTATACCTACCGTTCCCCTGTTATGTTGCAATAAAATCTATGAGTATGTCCGTATTAAATATGGTATGTTATTTGCACGTAAAAGGTTATGAAACCTTTTTTAATTAATTATAGCATGGTTTCATTAATTGAATTTAACATGATGCTATGATATCAATATTGTATGCTGGTGATTAATTATGTGTGATTAATTAGCGTGTTTATGTCAACTAAAATCTGGTGTACAGAAAGTACCGGGTTTGTATGTGATTGTTATTTACAAGGTCAATTTATGTAACTAATTTATTATATTCTTGGTTATCTTAAGAAATTTAATAATGCTAATTTGTGAAACTATTTTAAATACACATATGATTGTATAATTCTTATTAATTGTTAAGTAAACCTGGCTATTTAATTATATTTTGCTATAATTTAAAAAGATATGATTAATTATTTTTAAATATATTTTAGTTTAAAATTATTTATACGGTATTAAACGTTTAAAATAATTAATCATGCTATTTTAAGAACAAAATAATCAGGATAAAGGATATGTTACAGGATATTAACATGGTTGCCTACAATAATGTAATTTCATGAGCTCATACCTTTAAATTAGTCACAAACATGAAATTAAAATTAAGTTTTAATTTTTAACTTTAAATAAACTTAAAATACAATTTCAACCACAAGTATTTACGTATATTGTTATGTATAATAAAAAGAATTATTGTTATATACAGTATACTTTATTATCAGTTTAAATGTGTATTTCTAGGGCTTATTCAACACTGGCCTATCTATATATTATTAATAAATATGCATAATCTTTAATACTTTGCTATACTGACCAGTAGTGCTCAGTTTGGTCATCAGTGGGTCAGTGGTGGCCGACACGGGACAGTCGTCCGACTAAACCTAGCATTAGGGCCAGTGCGTACATTACTGTCCACAATGAGTAAATAACTTTTATAATGTAGTGTTTTATTGCAAAAATCCATTAAAATAATATATATGTCCATTGATAATATAAAAAGTACCTTTTGCCTATATTAAAGCAGAAGATTTTTAATACTCGTGCTAATAGTAATCCAATGCATGAACTCTGCTTACAATGAGATTTTACAAATAGTTCTAAAGATCTAATCATATTATTGGGCCTCATATAATGTAACAAGGTCAAGATATTAATTTTTGTGTAATTAACAAACCACGTGATTGTTTAATGAATATATCTTTGTCCAGAACCTGGCATTGAATTTAAAAGTTATGTTCGTTAATATATTTTTAATCACATTTTGATTAGTTTTGAAAAAGTCTGTAAGCAATATAATGATTGTAAAAAGCATTTTTGAAATAAACAATTATATCGTTTTGCTATCATTTGTTGTTATATAGTCCGGGTGACTGGTATATTTTATAAATTGTACATGTGAATAATTTACTACTTTTATTAGTAAACTATTTTTAAAATAGAATTTTATTTTCAATATTAAAAGTTAGTTGTTTTGTCATGGACCTATTCAGGTATGTTTTTATTGCGAGAGTTAATATAATCTACCTAGTAAGAATTTATAAAAATGGGTTTAACTAGAATTTAATATTTATTTTATATTACTATTAGATTATTACTTGAGAGAGAGAGAGAGAGAGAGAGAGATTTATAAATTAATTATATCACAAAAATAAAATAATAAACATTTTAAACTGTACTTTTTAATACAATGTATGATAATTATTATTAGTATAAAACAAACTTACAAATTTGGTTTAAAAACCCAAAAACCATATTTATTTAATAAACTAAAGTTACCACTCTTATTTGCTACTATATTTAATAATATACACTTATTAATAAATTGTCGGGTACCTCGTTTATTTATATTTTATTAATCTATTTTAAATATAATTTGAAATATTGTGAGTGTGAGCATGCAATTTTAAAAAAATATTATTAGGTAATGCATTAGGTTAAAATCTGTTTACAACTAAAATACTTGTTTATTTTAATTTAGCTCTGATACGTCTCTAAAGAGTACAGGGATTACATTGTTGATATCCCTGGTAGCTTTCTACATTGGCCGTTTTTATGCAAAGTTATACAACTACCCGCCTGGACCTATACCACTGCCCATTATTGGCAATGTTTTGAGTAAATATTTCAATTATTAAATCATCAAGATTTTGTTTAAATATTAAATTTAATTTTTTTAAATACTTTTATTAAATACATGTAAATCAATCAAAATCCAACATTCGTGTTTATAAAAAAATGTGTTTACAATAAAATTATTAACATTTATGCATAGTTATTTTTAAACACATTTATTATAAACATCAATGTAGCATTTATGTGTTAACATATTTGTATAATATCTATTAACATATACAAAATACGTACAAATAATCTACAATATACATGTAGAAATTAAATATAAAATATATATTGTTAATTATTTATTTAATAACATAAAAATTGTTTACCAAAAGTGTTTCGAAACTTCACAAAACACTGGAACCTGGAGCTGATTAAATTAACTAAAATGTACGGACCTGTATTTACTTTGTGGATTGGACCCTTGCCATTTGTGTTCATATGTGACCTGGATAATTGTCGTGAGGCATTTAATAAAATCGAGTTTACAGGACGTCCTAATACTTTATTTGGTAAGAAATTAGGTTTATTATTGAACTATATTGTAGTGGCAAAAATAATATTGTTTTTTACAGGATCTACTAGGTCATATTTTCGTATGCAATTATGTATTGCATTATGTTATACTGTAATGGCATACACATTGCTATAATTATTATAACAAGGTCATTGTCAATGTTGCAATATAGCTCATTAGTCTTATAATGGGCATGCTAATGATATGTTTTATAAGATATATTAGCTATTTTCTTAATTGATTAGTAAGTTACGGGAAAATATATCTAATATATTATTTCATAAATAATTATTGAGTTAATTAATCAGATGGTTCAAGGTTATTCAAAATATTTTGGACTATCATAACAAATTAATTTCCTATAAAGTTTCAAATATTTCTTAAAATGATGTATTCAAGTAATTTGATAACCATTAGGAATAGTTGCAAGACCATTAATTATTTATCCATTAAAATTGCAAAATAAATATGTATTTTAAGAATAAATTGCAGTTTTTATTGTGAAAAATATAACCATTATTGCATAAGTTTTAAATATGCATTATACAATACTTTAAAATTCACAGGCTTAAATATACGTTAAGCAAATTTTGTAGTATGATCAAATAGATAATTTTAGTAATTAAAAATAATTTATATAAAAATTGATTTAATCAATTACACATTACACTTTAATAAATAACTGACTGATTTCATATATCATACATAGGTGATTTATATAATAATGAGGGCCATAATGATATTATATTCAACGATTACGGGCACTCGTGGGAAAGTTTACGGCGAGTATCGCACACTGCTATACGGTATATATTTATGCACCCAGGTTATATACGCATTAAAATATATTTATTTAAAATCTTTTCTAAATAAATAAATATATAGAAAATACGCCAAAAGCGATGATTTATCAAAAGTTGT